TTGTTGATGCAAGGCCCCCCCCGTAAATGATGTCGCTTTGTCGCATGCGCCTGGTAAGTTCTAGAGCCCCGCATTGACATCTTTACTTCCTAGGCTCCGCGTATTCCCGTCATTCGGGATAGTGATGGGTCTTTTCCTATGGGAGTGCATAGAGTCCTTAATTTCGTTTAAATTTATTCTAGCTCCCGAATGGGAACATTATAGTACGTATATAAACAATTTTTCATTCCCTTGGGAGCAGAAATCCATCAGAAATTTTAATTTCGATCGACTAATTTATATTCCTCAATCATAAGTAGATATTTCTAGGCGCAAACGTCGTCTGTAAAGCTCCTGATTGATGTTTTTGGGCGCAGATGCCGCTTGCACCGGAACTTATTTAAGAAAAACCAGAGGGGACCCGTCGATTCTATCGACGGCATATCCGCCTACTGAGTGGGAAAAGACGTACGTTAAAGCTTTGAAGACATATGGACAAACAAAAAACAAAAGTATTTTCGAGATCTCTCCATAGACATCTGAGGGTCTGACGCGCGAGCGTAGTGAGCACGAACTTGTTTGGCAGGAACTTGAGCGAACGATATAGCTTGAAGGCAGGGTTTAGGGATTGTGGCTTAAGACTTATGACCTGTGGTCTATCCCCCCCCAAACCCTGCCTGTTAACCCTAAAACACCAGAGACCACAGGGGGGCGAGAGAGAAACCCTCAATTTAAACCCCAGACCTTGCACCCTAAGCCCCAAAACCTAAACCCACCAATGAACCACCGGGGGGAGAAGGGTACACCCGAAACCTTAACCGCTGTAGTAACCCTGAACCGTAAACCCAGCACGAACCACAGGGAGGGGAAACAATAAACCTACCATTACCCCAAACTTTTAACCCTAAACTCTAAACCCACCGTGAACCAATGGACCAACGGGGTCGGAGTGAAAATCCTGAACTCTACAGCCTAGCCTGAACCCTAAACCCATGAACCACAGACCATGAACCACAGCAGCCGGGGGGGGGGGGGGGGGAACCCAAAACCCAGCATGAACCACAGGAGGGGGGGGGGATTACCATGCAAGCTCGCGTCTACATGCACTGGACCGAACTCTTCCTTTTTGCCTGGCAGCCCACGAAGAAACTCTTGAGTCCAGCGCTGGCAGCGGAACTTCCAGACAAAGCTTTCCCAATGACGCAAAAAGCTGCGTCCAAGCTTGTCCAGAAAAGGAAACTGCCGAGAAGGAAGAGGAGCTACTCCGGGAGCGGAGGGTGGGCCCCAAAAGTCTGCAGTGCACTCCAAAGCTTCGCTCGCATGCGGGGTCATGCAAGCTCGCGTCTACATGCGCTGGACCGAACTCTTCCTTTTTGCCTGGCAGCCCACGAAGAAACTCTTGAGTCCAGCGCTGGCAGCGGAACTTCCAGACAAAGCTTTCCCAATGACGCAAAAAGCTGCGTCCAAGCTTGTCCAGAAAAGGAAACTGCCGAGAAGGAAGAGGAGCTACTCCGTTCTTAGTGGGCGGCCACAACGGGGGCGGCTGTGCGCCGCAGTACAGCTGGTAGCGTAAAAACCCGCTAGGCAAAGAGCTGGTTGAAGGTCACCTCAAGGAGCGCGCTAGCAGCTGCAACACTTTGTCGACACTGCTTCGTCAGGGCTGGTATTACGGAGATCGCAGCAACTTCTTGAACGTATGCTTCTAATGTCGCTATGTTTCGGATCCTCATGCGCCACATCAGGCTGCTGATGTCGACGCCGGCCTTGTACTCTCTGACAGCACTGCCGCCTCGGAGGCCGCCCGGCAACAGCTTTGCAGATTTTGGTACGCCGAGCTGAGACAGAAGGCAGTCCCAGCGCTTTCTGAAAGCGCCAGCTGAGCCAGGGTACAGGGCCTCGTCAGGCTCCAGGTTCCTCAAGGAAGCTTCCAAAAACTGAACGAAGAAGGTCTCCTTCACGCAGAGGTGTTGAGTCCTCCCGCCTCCACGGAAAGCAGTCTTTGGAGATTTCACAGCCATGTAGCACCCGGCAGAGAGCGGGCTCAGCGTGTCACTCGGGAGCAAAAGGTCCCTGCGTTTTGCACGCAGCGGCTCTCCAGCGCGACCAAGTCCATAGTAAGCAAGCCCTAGCACGCAGCACCAGCGAACCCAACCTCGCAGAGCTCCAAGGCAAAGCAAAGCCCTCACAATTGCTTCAGGTACAGGGACTCGATGGACAACGGGCACGACTCTCTCCCATCTCGTGATCAAATCCCATCCGAAGCTCAAGAAAGGGCGCAGCTCAAAACGGTTCTTTTGCAGGAAGGCCATCAGGTGCCGGAACTTGTATAGGGGCTCCCCGTTTTGGAAGAGCCAGTTGCCGTAAGAGCGAACAAGGACACAGTAAACCATGGCATGGCTACAAAGGGACTTACGTGCTGGACCACTAAGCTCCCTCCTAAGAAAACCCTCGAAGTCACCGAGCACAGTGTCCTGGATGGCCAAGGTGCGAGCGGAAACGAGCTGCACTTCCTCCAAAGAAGCAGGAGCACCCGGAACTGGTCCAGGACGAGAAGCCTCGCCAATTCGCTGGGAATGGCACCGAGCACAAGCTGCTACGTCAAGCCGGCGACGTTGAGCTGGAGGAAGGTGCGGGTTCACCAAGTGCCAAGCGATCAGTCGATTAAGGCCTCGAGGGAAAGCTTCGGCCGCCTTAGTGAACTGGCAGCGGTGGACTTTCGAGTAGCCCGTCAGCTTCACGTGTTCGTGTCCGCCAGCACAAAGGACACGCTGACCCCCAAGAGAGCCAGGGCCAGGCGCAAAGACTCTGGTACGCTTTCTCCACGGCGTGCCAAATCGACAATAGTCGACAATGAGGCTGGCCTCGGGCTCGTAATCCTTTGACAGGCGCGACCAGCGAGGGGTGTGCCACAAGTAGCTGCCAGATGGGTTCTCGGTCCAGGCAGGGATCTCCATAGCCAGGGCGCCCTCGACGACCTCGGCCATAAAGTCAGCATGAGAGTTGCCCTCCTCGATCTTTTTCAGCATAGTCTCTCGGGCGTCAGGGAGGCCAAGAGGAGACTGAAGACTGCGCACAGGCGGACGGATGGCTCTGCTAAAAGAGCTGCAAGTCGGACCGCCTCCAGCTCCAAGAAAAGCACCTCTTTTCATCAGCTCAAGAATTCTTCCCCGGAGCTCCGGCGCCAAGAGGTCCTCCGAGGCAGAGTGACTCCAGTCAAAAGTCAGGCACCAAGTACCTGAAAGCTTAACGACCTCCTTTGCAACGCCTCGTGTCCCAGAGAAGAGGTCGAGGTAGCCGGGCTTCTTCAGAAGCTCAGTCAGAGGCCGAGAGCTTGTCCTGGGCAAAACGAACTGGTCCGGGTCGAAGGCTTGTAGAAGAAGCTGGACTCCTGTTTCGAGGTCCTTGCAGGTGTCAACAAACGTAGCAAGCTCTAACCAGCGCGGCTTCTCATCCTTGAAAACTGCCGTGGCGTGGGTTTCGGACATGTCGGGGCCGTTGCCGGGTCGAGGAAGAGGAACAGCGGGAGTGTCAAGGTCTCCACGGACAGCCAGAAGAGCTCGAGCAGGGGCTGAAGCTCCAACGTTTGAACAAGCAACGGCTGCAGCAGCAGTGCGGAGTTTCGCTCGGCTCTCGGCTTTGCTCGCGATCCACAAGTTGCGGCGTTCCCGCCGTCGAAGAGCACTGGCACCATCCCAAAGTCGGCGAATGGTTTCAAGAGGAGGAAGTCCCAGCAAAGAAACGTAGTCAACTCCCCTGACAGCAAGCTCCTCGTCAAGATCGTGGAACGAACCGCACAAGGCGGACTGCAAAAAGTCCGGGACCGGAAGTTGAGGGTCACGCAGGTCAGCATCTCGCGTCGGGTCGTCCGACGGGTTGTCCCCGGACGCCACAAACATATATCCTCCGAAAATGTCCAGGCCGATGTAATCTGGGAGTGAGGCGCGAAGGACTCCGTTCAAACGAGGAGACGAAGATCTTCCCTTGAGAAGGCAGCCCAAGGCAACCTGACTGTCAGCGCCAGAAAGAACACGGCTCGAAGGACAGACTCGGGCCCGACGTGACTCGCCCGCCAACACAGCGCGCAGCTCGTGCACGTTGATGTGGCGCTTCTTTTGAATGCGTTTCCTCCAGCAAGGCCTAAACTTCATGTGGCAGAACACGGCCTTCCACAGGGGGTGGTGAGGGAGCTGCTCGTCGCCAGGTAGTTCAAGGTGCTCCTCCAAGACTCCAGCTTCTCGCAGACCAGCAAGGTCCGGTTTCAGCAGCTTCGTCCACACGGGCTTCCGCAAGACGTGTCGCCACAACTCGTCGGCGAAGACCTCAGGCACAATGGTCGTAACTTCCGCTTCCCACTTGTCCGAGGCGTCAGTGGCCGAAACTTCAAGACAAGGACGAGTGCGGAAGTTCCACCGAACCACGGGCGCAACGATAACCAAAGTCCACAGCTCTGCTCGCAACCTGGGCCACATCTTGAAGGTGACGTGTTCGCCGATGTCCTTGGGAGCCTTGAACACCTCCTCCAGCAAGGACATGCACCGACGCCTAAACTGGAAAATGGCGATGAAGAAACCACTGATGACTTCCAGCAGATAGCGAGTCCCGAATCCAAGTTTCGCGATATGGCAGTGAGCGAAAGAACCGGTAGGAGTCGCGAGACGATCGGTCGGCTGGTCCCAGCGTCGCCGTCGAGAGAGGCTCCCCAGAACTCTGCATGGAGCTGCTCAGAGAAAGCTTTCTTGTGGTTCTCGGGCAGGTGCACCTCAGAGTAGCATTGACCAGCTCGGCGAAGCCGAGCGGCGCCTTCGGAGGAGCCGGGCGCTAGCTCGTCGAAACGTCTGCGAGGCATCCTTTCGGCAACAACAAAGTCGTCGATGACCACTCCGCCTTGCACCCTCGACCGTGAAGGTTGGCTCTTCATCGTCAACAGCTCTTCGGGGAAAACGCTCCCAGCGCTTAGGATCAGAGAGAGATGGGCGCACTGTCCGAATTCAACAGAGTTCAGATCTCCCATAGCCATAGAATTGAAGCAGGGGCGGAAGGGCCCCTGACCGGCGAACTTCTCCTCGAAGCACGTGTACATCCTGGCCTCGCCCTCGTTGAGTTCCAAAGCAAGAGCGTTCCTGATGGCGCGTTGAGGGGATATGCGGTACTGGTAGTAGTAGTCCTTCAGGTCAGTTCCGCTGAAGACGAGGACCTCGTTAGGCTTGAGGACGGTTCCAAAGAGGCTCACGGCGCTTGCCATTGACCGAGTCCACTCTGCTCGCCCTTCTTCCAACAAATTGGGTCCCCGGGCATCCATGATAAGGCGATCTCGTTCAAGGGATTTCGGGACCGTAAAAAGGCCGTTCAAGTGCCTTTCCCTGCAGCAGGAGGTGGGGAGCAGGCGAAGCCGGTCGCCCTTGTCGAGCTTTCGCAGAAGCGCGCCACGTTCAGCCTGGCCGGCTAGAACTCGGGCTCTAGGTGGCACAGCAACAGCCTCTGCTTCGTTGAGGGCGAAGTCCAACGGGTTGAGGTAATGGGCAGCGCACTTGGAATCAAGGAAGTTCACCGGGTCGAAGGCAGCAAGGTCGCCAAACTCGACGCGAGAAGCTATCACAGGGTGAGCAAGAGAGCTCCCAAAGCGAGGCAGCGCCAGCGGCTCGCCAAACTCCAGTTCCAGAGGGTCAAAGCGCGGGAATCGGTCAGGTCCCTCATGATATCCACGACAACGAGCTGCAAGAACGGCTCCACTGCGTTGAAGGCCGGCGACCATGGACTCGAGGTTCTCGATCTTTGACGCGGCACGACCCATGTCCGAAGCAGCAACGGCAGGGTGACGAAGTACATCACTCAACATGGCCTCGATCCTGCTCACAACCGCCCGCTGCTCGCCGGAAAGCCTACTTGACGCAAGTAGATCATCAGGGGCTACATGAGGACGTCCAAGATGCAGCCAGTTGAGCATGGCGATCACCAGGTCTACGGCATTGCGAAAGGCCCGGGTCGGCATATCCAAGTTTGCAGCTCTAAAGCGGTAAGGCAAAGGCATGGGCCAAATCAACGTTGAGGTAGTCCTCGAGGCTTGAGGTAAGAGGGGCTTCTTTCTAACCAGGCATCGAAGAAAGCAAGAAAATGAATTCTGAGTTCGGAGAACTTGTCGGGGTAGGGCTGCCCAAAAGTTCACGGGGTCAACGGATGAAGCTGTCTCCCCCGGCAATCGTGGTCCATGACGTGTGGCGTGCCCTGCCTTGCTGCCGGCTGTGCGGGGCCCGGCTGCCCCTTCAAAAGCTGTCACGTGGTTTTGGCGGCCTCGGCCGCCGGCCTCTCGGGCTTCTCGGCTTTCTCGTGGCTCTTTCCTTTCTTGCCATCTCCTTTTCGTACCGGCACGGGAAGGCGCTCGTCTTCTCCCTGATCGGGTCGCTGCTCGTCTCGCTTGCGCCACATCGGGGGAGGTTGAGCCGCGCCGAGCTTCTTCCTTGTGTCGAGGTAGGCGTCGAGCTGCTTCAAATGCGTCGTCAGGACCTCGATCCAGCGTCTGTCGTAAAGGCGGCTGAAAGGTTGTTCGCTGCCTGAAGGGAGGGTGTGGCTTGCAAAAGCCTGAAATGGAGGAGCATCCTCCAGCATCATCTCCCCCGCTAGTGTCCACGATCCTTTGTCTATGCTGAGCTGATCCCCTGCCGAGAGTGCGAGAAGACAACGAAGATAAGCTTCCTGATGTTTCTCTGCCTTGATGCAATCTGCTATGCCGGCGATGGCCCAGCAAAACCGAATCGTGCTGGGGTAGTTCTGAACCTTGCTCCTCAGTTCCAACCACGCTCGACATGAAACCGGCACAGCAGAGGAGCCGGGCAGGGAGGTCCGCATGTTGAAGTCGGATTCGAGATTGCGCTCCAGGACCTTGACGAGATCCTCCGGCCGTTGCCCCAGGCTTTCCTTCAGCGCCCGCAGCGCTGCCGCGTTCCGAGCTGCCGAGCCGCCGCTGCCGGCGCTGTCGGCCGACCCAGATCCGCCGCCGTCGAGAAGAGCATCCAGAGTCCCCTCCTTCTTTTTCTGTGCAGCGAGATGGCCCGCTATCTCCGTGAGCTTGCTGACTGCCACCTCCATGGGGTTCATCGGAGCTGCAGGCGCTTCGTCCGGCACAGTTTCGGGGAAAGAGTCCTCGTCCTCGAGCTCGTCCTTCGCCTTGCCCTTCGCGGTACGTCGTCCTTTGGGTCCTGGAGTGTCTCCCAGCTTTGAACTTTGCCGCTGCAGAAGCCTCGACATCTCCTCCAAGTGGCTGCCTTCGATGCCAGCATCCAGGGCTGCCTGAGTGACGGTGGGGTCCAAGCCGCGGAACCTTGTGGGAGCAGCCGTCGCCTTCGCGGAAGCCTTCTTTGAGGGCCTCGCCGAAGAAAGATGACCAGGAAGGTCTCGCTGAGAGGGAGGTTGCCGATCTGCCGATCCAACAGCGCCGATGACCTTTGCGATGTCCTGCTTGAGCTCTGACAGGCATGCCTCCAAGGATGCGATGCGGTCAACAACGGGATCGCCAGCAGGTCCCACAGGCACAGGAGCCACCGGGAGCTCGCCGGACTCGGCCGTCAGGAATTCAAAAAGGTTCCTCGACGCGTCAATCAAGGTGGGCGCAAATGGAAGCAAATCACTCGACTCTTCACTTCCAAAAGTGTGGCCAAGCTCAACAGGATCCTCAAGGTCACGCACGAGGTCGGTGGCAGCCTCGCCCTCCTCGCTGAGAAGGCCAAAACAAACCCGGCAGTCACCTTCAAGAGCGTTGTCTCGATCTTCAGGCTGGCAAAGACGAACTCGGCCAGCTGAAAGGCGCCTTGCAAAAGTCCGAGGCAGAACCCGCCGAGCCGCGGTCCGGTGCCAGACCCCAGCAGGGAGCGCAACAATGATCTCGCCAGTCACCGCAATCCCGACAAGGGCCGCAGCAATCAAGAGAGGAGGCTGACCGTCTCGAGGAACAGCAACCGCAGCCAAAGGATAGTCGTAGTCCACCTCGTCTTCGCTGACGGCGACCAAATTCTCTCTGAGGGAGGCCACGTGGTCGCCACCGCAGTCCTCCCCGTCCGTCTCCGTCTCAGGCATCCGGCCAGCGGACGCCTGTGCGCCCGGTGGCTCGCCGTGCCTCCCACACAGAAGGGAAGCCGAGGAACACAAGCTTGCCAGGGTTGTTCACTGATGGGAACCTGGCTCGCAGATCACACAGACGATGAAACACCAAGGCAACTTCAAGCGGGTGGCCTTCAGCGTCGGAGTAGATGGCGTACAACCTGCTTCGAAGTTGCACCCTGGCCAGCTGATCAGCAAGGGCTCGGACTTCCGAAGCAAAAGAAGTTGAAGCCAAGCTCATCCACGCTTCAAATGAAGCGAAGCGATCCGATCCCGAACCTCCACAGTAAGCCGCTGCTTCCACAAGTAGAGCAGGTCCAGGACGCCGCCAAGGAGGATCCCGATCAAGATGCCCGCCAGGAGGCCAAGGATGAAGTAGTGCCGGTCCTCTCCGGCCGGACAATCAAGGGCGTAGCGCTCGAAGACAGGTGAAGGCTCCGGCGACGAGAGCAGCTGCTGACTAAGAAAGGTTAAGGCGAGACTGCTTAGTGATCCAGCACCAGCCCCCAAAGCTAAGGGTCGACTCATAAGCCTAAGCTTGCCCCCAAAAGTCTGCAGTGCACTCCAAAGCTTCGCTCGCATGCGGGGTCATGGCCAACGGGGGGGGGGGGGGGGGCGTGAATGCTGGCTCATATATGCTAGACACTTTATGCGCACAAAGTGTCCGTCCCAGTAGCGGTGCTAGCGGTTGGCTACCCACGATGCGGAGGTTGTGGGTAGAGGTGGGGGGGGGGGTTGGGGCTAGGGTTAAGAGCCACTGCAGCTTTGCTAGGGCTTGGGCTGAAACGGGTTCCTAGGGGTAGTTGGGGGGTGGGAGGGGGGGGGGGGTAGGTGGGGTATATATATATTTATATATATGTATATATATATATATATATATAATATGTACATATAGAGCGAAAGTGAGAGAGAGAGAGAGAGAGAGAGAGAGAGAGACACAGAGAGCGACTTGAATAAACACTGCAAATACCCTAAACATAAACCGAAAGAGAACATCATTTTGCACAATTCAATTCGTCCAGTCCTCGGGCGCCAAGTAGCTAGGGTTTAGGGTCTAGGGCTAAAGTCTAGGGTTTACAGTTTAGGGTTTAGGGAACTCCCTTTTCTTGGCTTGCGCACTTCGCTTCGGGTCTGGCTTTCTAACCAAGTATGGGCACGTGGAAGCGAAAGCGATGAAGACGGGTGCTCATGACCCTACTTGGAGGTTCCGGGACGGTTTAGGGTCTAGGGTCTAGGGTCTAGGGTTTAGGGTTTAGGGCTACTCATAACCCCCGTTGCGACTGTGATTTTCAGCCACCTTTCAGTCCTCTGAGCAGGTTTTAAGTAGACTCATAATTGGGGTTCGAAGTACCCAAGTACCCATGAACCTCCAAGTAAGGGTCCATGTACTTAGGCTTTAAAGGGGCTCCCATGTAGTAGCTTTCGGGCCCAAGCATATACCATGTAGGCACATGGACCCTAAGGGTGGCCAGACATCTCCAAATCTGGCCTGGCACTAAAACAGTTTTTGGAACTGTAAACTGTAAACCCTTCCACGGCTTTACCGAAAGCGGTTCTACGGAATGAGGAAACACAAGGACGGGGCGCAAAGTCCTCCACAGAACCTAGGCTGCAAACAGAATGGAATAGCACCCGTGTTCACCCTAAACCCACCCTAAACCCTAAACCCTAAACCCTAAACCCAGGCTCTGCTGGTTTAGGAGGGTAGAATTTTGGATTCCGAGCGCGAAGCGAAACTCCATGCTTCAAAGCGCGCCTACAAGCCTAAACTGAACTTGGAACCCTGGCAACGATTAGAATTTTAGCTGTTTCTCAGCAATTAAAGTACCCCAAAAATTAAAAACACTATTTCCAAGTATCCCTCAGAATCTTGCTCCCCCCAAAAAAACAACAAAAACAATGTTACCCTTATACGGAAGCCGGTTCAGCTGCCTCGAGCCACAACCCTAAACCGTCTTGGGGCATATCTCTGGTTGGTTCATGAAGCTCGTGGCTTCTCCGCCGCGTCCTTGCACCTGACCAAAATTGGCGACACAAGGGCTGCATGGGCTTTAGAGTTTCGGAATTTGTATGACAACGACTGTAGCGGCAAAAGAATGACAAATGTAGTACATTCAGTGACAATCGAATTGAGTTTTTCTCAAGTCCTAACACTCTTAAAGCCCAAAAAACCCCCAGGTGGGGAGGAAACATTTGCGAGGGATTGCTCCACATTCGGGTCCCCTTGTACATCAATTGCGTCACAGGGCTCTTCTTGCCCCCTGGAAGGAAAAGGGGCCCCTGATTTAGAACAACCCCCCAGCAAGCTGACTCCGTAGGTTCGATTGAAGCACGTGGGCACCCATGAAGATTCGCACAGCATCCAACTCGCTACCATCAGTACCCAAAGAATCTGCACTCCTGCGCAAGCAAGCTCTGGCATTTGCGGTCCTAAACCCTGAACCCGAAACGCGGATGATGGACCTGCGGGCCTCGACCGTTAAATAGTTTTGGAACTTGGAACTCACCGCCAGTCACGGCTCTTTTGCCCAATCTGGTGGTGAATGTTTCAATGTTTCAAGGAACTTAAGGACAGGAGGACAGGATGCAAGGTCCTGCACAGAACGCAGGCCACAAATAAAAAAGAACATCACAAACAACAAGGAGGGGCCCCCTTACTATTCTAGCTATAGTTGAGGGACGTATAGCCTGATTTAGGATCCTCACAAGCCTATTTAGGGCCCTTATATTTCTACTTATAACTAAGGGCGGGGGGGGGGCCTTCTTCCTAAACCCTAAACGCTGAACCCTACACCCTCCTGGCTTTTGGGCTTCAGAACACAACCCCATTTGCACCCCCCCCCCCCCTCCCCGCCTCGTTTTGGGGTGCAGGCTCTAGCTATCCGAGGGAAAGCACTCTACCAAGCCCTAAACCTTGAACCCTAAACCCTACTTCTTCTCTTTAGGTCAGTTCACGGCTCCTCTGCACATCCTTACTCCTGATCAACCCTATGCCAGTTTGATAAGGATTTTCACTCTGACCCCTTGGCCCATGAGGTTTAGAGTTTAGGGTACAAGGTTTGGGGCAATGGTAGATTTACGGTTTCCCCTGTCCCTGCTGTGGTTCGTGCTCGGTGTACGGTTCAGGGTTCAGGGTTGAAGCGGTTAAGGTTTCGGGTTTACCCTTCCTTTTTGTGGTTCATTGGTGGGTTTAGGTTTTAGGGCTTAGGGTTCAGGGTTTGGGGTTTAGGTTGAGGGTTTCTCTCTCTCCCCCTCCTGTGGTCCGTGGTGTTTCTAGGGTTAACGGGCAGGGCTGTGGGGGGGAGATACCATGGGGGAGGGATACCATTGCGGGGGGAGGGGGGGGTCAACTGTGCGGAACGCGGGCGCATATAAGGGGGGCATGCGGGGTTGTAGGGTTTAGGGTTTAGGTGTGGTTTAGGGTTTAGGGTTGAGGGTCGCGGGTTTAGGGTTTAGCGTTTCGGCCCTTCATTTCGGATCCATATTTTACTGCTGGCAATATGAACCCTGCATGCACCATTCAGGCTCTCTCATCTTGTCCTCCGCCGGTTAGGGACCCATACTTTTTAACCCATGGTAGCCCAGTAACCATATTACAATAAAGGCGCCCTTTGTTGGGTTGGTTACTTTATAAGGGGGCCTTGAACCAAAAAAAGGGTAAAGGGTACCACTGGGCTACCAAGATACATTTTAACCCTTGAATGAAGGGCCTTGTTTTAAATAGGCTTTGGCTGGGATGGTGTCTTCGTTGGAAGATGTCAAAGCATGCGAGTAGAGCCTGGATCAGTCAACTGCGGCTCCAAAACTGGGATGCATGTATAGGCCGCCTGACCGAAATGCCGGCCAAAATCACAACTAGCCTTCACAACCGCAAGACTTACTGTTGGTTCGCAAGGAATGGGGGAATGAGGTACTCTATATGATCCCTTAACGGGTAGGGCCCTATTTTTACCCTTTAAGGGATTTTTGAAGGGCCCTGATTCCCCGATGCTAACCAACAGTAAGAAGAAAGCGGCTGTGAAGTGCTCTGGGCTGCTGTGGACAATCCAGGTGGCCAAAGGTCTTCCTTTCAGCTTCACATGGGCTGTACATGAACAGTAGCGGCTACTACTGACTGTTGGCTAGCAGGGAATGAGGGCATTAGGTACCCTATGAATGACCTTTAAGGGAGTATATAGGATACCTCCTTCCCCCATTCCCTACTAACCAACAGCAAGACTGAAGCACACCGGTGAGGGCAGCACGTACTCTGGGGATTCTAGGGGTTGGTGTGCTTTGTGCATCATCTAGATTCCTGTAGTGGCGTGCTCAAAGAGGCAGCTTGAGAACGTTTAGGGTTTAGGATTTAGGGTTTACACAGAAATGGTTGGAGCGTAGCTGTGGAATAAGCTTCGGAACACAATCGGCAGGTCACAAAGGTGTTTTGATTAAGCACTTGGCCAGCTAGCCTTCTTGCCACTGCAACAGCAGAGCTGAAACCGACGAAGGCAGACTATGATGGCAGAAACATGCGGCGGGCTTCAAGTCACAAGCTCGTGTTTGCTTTGCACTTTGCGATCACACGCCCTAAGCCGACCTCACCAACCCCTTAACATTTAAACTGGACACAACTTTGGAGGGCTTGGTGTTGCCAGTCCCTGAACCCTAAGCCCTAAGCCCTAAACCCTAAAACCCCAAAATCCTAAACCCTAAACCCCCCTAAAGCCTCTCTTCCCAGGGTCTGTGACGTTGTCCTTCCGAAGGCTATATACAAAGGTCAGAACCTTAGTAGGCTTTGGGGTTTAGGGTTTAGGGTAGGCTGTTATAATAAGGCCACCGCGTTCTTCGGTTGGTTACGTTTAAGGGAACCTTGAACCAAAGAAAGGGAAAAGGGTACCACTGGGCTACCAAGGAACAGTGGGATCTGTCAGGTTTGTGATCTGTCTAAATACGATAGTGATCTATCATTGGAACCCCCAAAAGGGTACCACCGTTTCCGGAAACCCCCATATACAGGTGCAGGGTTATATGCAACAAATAAGATGCCTGTTAGGGTCCCTCCTATACCTTCCCTAGGCATCAGGGCCTAAGCCCTAATACCTAAACACCCTGGCATTGAGAAGCCCCGCCACTGACTCGCCTGTCCCTTTCCCGAGCCACACGTGTCATAGGCTCAAGTGGGATATACATGTAATTTCCGAGGTATCTACTCAGCCAGAAATGCCTTTGACGTGGCGCGTTCTCATAGGTCCTCTCCGAAGGGGTTCCGACTGGGACCTTCGTTCGTGAACTTCAGAAACCCTTAACTTTCAACCCCTGAACCCTAACTAAGGGAAGTTACATGGTCCCTTTAGTAGGGCCCCCTTTGTAAAGCCTAAACCCAAAATATACACCCGAGACCATATATAAACCTGAACCCTGACAGGTCGCGGTGCTTTGTTTATAGGGTTCTTAAGGGAGGTGGGTTCATGAGGGGTAGGTACGTAGGGAACTTTAGGGAAGCTTAGGGAGCCTCAGGGAGTACATAGGGAACCTTGGGTTACCTACCC